CCGAATTAAGGTGCTTAGTGTGGCCGCGCACAATCGAATTTATACAACCTGTTTCCCAAATTCGAATTATCTAAATTCGGATTAATCCTGTAGTGTAGACATACCCTAAGACAAAGTTGTGACCTGCTATGAGACTTTATGAAGACATATAAACTGATAAGGGACTCATCTAAACACTGACCATTCTAATTTTTGGAGGGGAGTGGTCATAAAATATTTCATTGAATCAAGTCTCCATTCACAGATCTGTATGTCATATCAGACAGGGAAGAGCTGCCTTGTCTAGACATTGGGATGCACTGGGTCTTTAAGAACACAGCCTCGGAAGCAATTGCTGAGCTGGATGGAGGAAAAAAAACCCATTTGGTTTCCCCCCCCACCCCATTTTTGCAGTCACTGCAGCTAGTTCATCCCATATGGGGGAACTTTTCTCTGCCCCTCCCTATCCTGGGGTTTTCTCCTTTGCCACTGTCTGGCAGTGCCTGTACCCCATTCTGAACTGTGGCTCTTACCCTCTGCCATTTACTTTGCCCCTCTTCTTCCCGTGTCTCCAGCTGTTTGACCTTCCTGTGCAGTCCCTCCCCTCTGATTTGCCTCCTTTCCTCCTGTGAACAGCAGGGAGCAGATTGTAACTCACCGAAAGGGCAGAGCCAGGGCAACGCCTTCAGCAGATGTTACTAAGCAGGCTCAGTTGGGATGATCTTGCTGAATAATAGGCAAGCTGCAAATTGTGTCCAAAAGTAGATTGGAATGTTACGCCAGTCTCTCCTTCTTAAAGCTTGCTCTGCACCCAACTCAGGTGGGGACTTTCCCCAGTGACTACACTTAGGGCAGCCCTGGTGCTGGGGATGGGCAGGAAAATGACTACACAAACAGCCCTTTTCAGGGGCCTGCAGCTGGTGAGTTTGTACTAGAGGGTGACGGGCTCCCCATGTGTCTGCGAATAGGTGTGTCTATTAGGGAGTAAATGCCCACATAAATTGGACAGTAACCAGTTCTCCCCAGACAGAAAGGTGGGAGAGAGAGAAGAAGACAGAACAGTAACATGGAGAGACTAAAAGGGGCAGAGGGAGCAATAAATGGGGAATGAGGTTTCCACACCCCAGCCTTGCCCAGCTCCAGTCAATGTAGCACCCCGGGAAGATTGACTTTCCTAGATAAATTCATGGAGGATAGGTCCATCAATGGCTATTAGCCAGGATGGGCAGGGATCATGTCCCTAGCCTCTGTTTGCCAGAAGCTGGGAATGGGCAACAGGGGATGAATCACTGGATGATTACCTGTTCTGTTCATTCCTTCTGGGGCACCTGGCATTGGCCGCTGTCTGAAGACAGGATACTGGCCTAGATGGACTTTTGGTCTGACCCAGTATGGCCGTTCTTACGTTCTCATGAAGAAGGTGAGGAGCAGAGAGAGGAAAAGCCAGTTCCTGCCTCTGCCTAATCCCTGCGCTGCTGGGGGAATGTGCTGCTCTGGGGACAATGTCAGGAGGACCCCCCAAAGCAGCTCTATTGATTCTGCTCTTTTCTAGCATTTGGCTCAGAGACTCTGTTACTGGGATGGTTTAAAAGTGTCTCAAGGTTTTAGTCCCAGTGGGAGGAACCAGGTTTACATTTTAATAAAATAACTGAGCATTTTCTCAGTGTGGCAGAGTCTAATGTGTCTCTCTGCAGGGAAAGAGCCTGGGGGAACTGGGGTGTGAAATAGACTGAAACCCTTTCTGAAACCTCCCCAGTCATCTTCTCACCCTGACAGGCTGCAGAATAACGACCACGTTTTGCTCCAGATCAACCCATCTTCCTAAGGGACAAGGAAGGGAAATGGCTGTTTTGGATCCAGCTCAGGTAGGGGAGCTGGTGGGGAAGGTTGTTGTGGAGGGGGAGGGGCAGGAAATACACAGAGTGAAGCAGGGAGGGGGACAGGGTGTGATAAACTTGCTGGGACATGCTCAGCCTAGGGCCTTGTGTGTGTATGTGTGTGAACATTCTCCATATCTGAAAGAGGAAACAACCCCCCTGGACGGGCTGGAAAAACAAACCAGAGTGCTGGAGCCTGAACCCACTAGGTAGAGACTACAGTGAAATAAAAAGGGAAGGTGCTGGGATTTCTGTCCCTGTTCCCTGTGCGGAGCTCTGTGTCCCATATCAGCCTGTGCCTAGTAGGAGTGTGGTAAATGAGAAGACCCTGTCCTCCTCCGTCTGCTGGGAGGGACAAGGAGCTCTCACCTTCTCTCTGTTCCTTGGAGCTTCCTGGCCACTCTGAGCAGGTGGGGGTGGGATTCTGCTCCTCTGGCCCTCCCAGAGTTGTCATGTCTTTGTGCTTCTTCCCCCATGAATAGTGGGCTTGTGGCTGGGGCACCAGGCACTGAGTGGGGAACACCTGTTGTTTTAGATGCTGGTGACCTTCGAGGAGGTGGCTGTGTATTTCACTGAGGGGCAGGGGGCTCTGCTGGACCCCAATCAGAGAGCCCTCTACAGGGACGTCATGCAGGAGAATTATGAGACGGTGACCTCGCTGGGTAAGGACTCCTGTCCCCTCAGCTATTTGAAGCCATGGGGCCTGCATTTCTGAATCTGGTCAGGTTCTTCCCTGGTCAGTTACATTAGATGGGAATGGGTCACTGTAGCGGGGTGGTTACCCCGCTCCTGCCCTGAAGGGCTTAAAACAATAGGGTTACCATATTCAAACATTTAAAAAAGAGGACACTCCATGGGGCCCCGGTCCTGCCCCCAGCCCCGCCCCAACTCTGCCTCTTCCCCGCCCCCGCCCAACTCCACCCCTTCCCCACCCCCATTCCAACCCTTTCCCCAAAGTCCCTGCCCCCTCCTCTGAGCACCCCACATTCCCCCTCCTCCCTCCCGCTCTGATCTTGGTTGGGGGTTGCTAAGTGCTTCCCTGCTCCCCACTTGCCCTGCAGCCCCTGCACCCCCCCCCGCTCCTGCAGCCTCTGTGCCCCCTGCTCCCCACTGGGCCTGCATCCCCTGCACCTCCCCCCCCGCCCCTGCAGCCTCTGCGCCCCCCACCTGCCCTGCCCCTGCAGCCTCTACGCCCCTGCCTGCCCTGCTCCTCCTCACCCTGCAGCCTCTGCACCCCCCGCCTGCCCTGCTCCCCCGCTCCCCCGGCAGCCTCTGCCTGGCGGGGGCTTTGGATGCTCAGCGGCGACCGGGGCAGCGCGGGTCCCTGCAGCCCCGGCACACGCCACACTCCCTGCCCCGCGCCGCAGCCTCCTTCCTGCCACGCGGGGTGATGGGGCCACAGGAAAGGTCCCCCAGTGGCCGGGGAGTCCCCGCCTGTGAGGGAAGCCCGAGCCGTTGGCTGGGCCCGGCCTCCCCGTGGTCCTGCGGGCTCGGGTGGGGCGCACGGTCCGCCCGGCCTCCGGGGGCAGCAGCGGCCCCTCCGCCGCCTTCTGCGGCTGCGCCCCCCCTTCCCCCGCCCGAGCTCGCTACAATGTAGCCGGGCGGCTGGGCTGCGCTGCGGACCCGGCGGGTCGTGCTGGGGTCGGGCGGACCCTGGCTTATGCTGCCTCCCTATTTCCCCGGACATGTCCGGCTCTTTGGCAATTCCCCCCGGACGGGGATTTGAGTACCAAAAAGCCAGACATGTCCGGGGAAATCCGGATGTATGGTAACCCTAAAAACAACCCTGGGGGAAGGTTGTGACTGGGCTGATTGGGAAGTGGCTGCAGCTGGGCCACACCCCAATCAGGCCACAGCTGGCCTGTATAAAAAGGCTGGGAGCCAGGAGCTCAACAGTCTCTCTCTCTCTCTCTCTGTGTTTAGAGAGAGAAGGGTCTGGCTGCAGAGAGTTTTACCAGACACCTAGATTGGGAGCAGGGCTGGGGACGGGCCAGAGGAGCTGGCAGCTCCGGCCTAAGAAAGCCCCAGGCTGCAGGCCTGGCAAGGCCTAGTAGGTGTAGGGTTGCAGGGGGCAGCCCGTGGGTAGGCAGAGGCAGCAGCACAAACCCCTTTGCCTGTGATGAGTGGCTGATACTGCAGACTGCCCCAGTGAACGGGGGCTAGATGGAGACTGGGCAGTAGCCAAGACTGAGGCGAAGTGGGGATAGTAGGTGGGGGTTCCCCAGGGAGGGGAGACCCTAAGACTGAGGGGTTACTGCCAGGGGCAGCACCCCAGGTACAAGGGCACCGGGGTCCTGGGAGGGACACAGGGCCATAGGTAAGGCGGATCACCAGCCTGCAGGGGGCGCTCTGGATGCTGGAAGAGCTAATTCCTGGAAGTAACCAGCAGGAGGCGCTGCAGGGGTGAGTCCGCTCCTCTATAGTCACCTAGTCCAGTGGCTCTCAACCTTTCCAGACTACTGATTTCTCATGTGTACCCCAAGTTTCACCTCGCTTAAAAACTACTTCCTTACAAAATCAGACAAAAATACAAAATTGTTATAGCACGCTATTACTGAAAATTGCTTACTTTCTCATTTTTACCATATACTTATAAAATAAATCAATCGGAATATAAATATTGTACTTACATTTCAGTGTGTAGTGTATAGAGCAGTATAAACATTTCATTGTATGAAATTTTAGTTTTTACTGACTTTGCTAGTGCTTTTTATGTAGCCTCTTGTAAAACTAGGCAAATATCTAGATGAGTTGATGTATCCCCTGGGAGATCTCTGCATACCTTGGACATGTACCCCTGGTTGAGAATCACTGGTATTGTCCACAGCTCCAGTGTGAGAGAGCTGTTCATCTCCAAACCCTCTTCAATGGGATAGGGGAGTCATGAATCTAATGGACATTCTAATTTATGCCCATCACTCCAGCTTTCCTGGGGTCAGAAGCAGTGTATTATCCTATCTGCATTAATTCTCACTTTCACACAAGGATCTCTGTTCATTTCCCTTCATGGGATTAGCTCCATCTCTGGGGAGGGGCTCTGGATGTTTAGACATAGACAGGGGTTTAAAACCTGAGCTGTTTGTGCCTCAGCAAGTCCCACAGATCCTGAAAACTCCTAGTGAGAGTGTGACAATTCCCCCCACCCCCAAACATCTGCCTCTCCCAAGGGGGCTCTGTGACCACATTCCCATCTGTTCAGATCCCACAACCCCCACCATGGTACGAGGCCAGGTTAGAATCCGGGAATGTTCTTTGTGACAAATACTCTACAAATCCTCAATGCACCCTGATCTTGCCTGATTTCACCCCCTCAGCAGGACTCCCCATTCCCAAACCTGACCTGATTGCCCAGCTGGAACGAGGGGAAGAGCCATGGGTCTCAGATCTCCAGGCCTTCGAGGAAAGGAAGATACCAAGAGGCACCCACACAGGTGAGGGGGTCAGTGACACTGACACGGAAACCATCTGGTGAATGAATGAAAAAGTTGAAAATCCGTATAATGTGGTGTGAGCCCCTTCAGTTCTGCCTCATCTCACCCAGGTCAGGCTGCGGTCAGCAGGTGTCTTGTCATCATGGTAGATCATGGCTTCCCACCTACCCTGTCAGGAGTTTTCTCTCCGACTTCACTTCCCTGTGAGAGTTTGGATGGGATGTGGAGGTCGAATCCAATTTCTCAGTCCCCCCCAATGGTTATTGGGCTGCTGTGTTTTCCCTTTTGGCTGTTCTTCTTTTTTCCCCCTTTCTCCCCAGAACAGGGAATGACTCTTTTCTGGATTCTCTCTCTCCCAGCAGGTGATAGGACTGTGAGTGAGAACAGGGAGGAGAATCCACATCAGGAAAGTAAAGCACTGGTGAAACCACAGGGGTTGTTTTTGAGAAGAGCTAAAGGGAATTCTTCTCAATGCTGGGAAAAGGTCAAAACCCGGGGAAATCAACACAAATCAGAGAGGAACCTGGGAAACCACCCAAGGAAGAAAGTGGATGAATCCATTCAATATGGGGTAGGATGTAACAATCTCAAGGAAACCACAGCCCAGCCAAAAACCCACATGGAAGAGAGAACCTACAAGTGCTTGGACTGTGGGAAAAGTTTCAGTCGGAACTATTCCCTTATACTACATCAGAGAATTCATACAGGAGAGAAACCCTATAAATGCTTGCATTGTGGGAAAAACTTCAGTCGGAACTACACCCTTATTCTACATCAGAGAACCCATATGGGAGAAAGACCTCCTAATCAACTTGATGGTGGGAAATGTGTCAATGAGAATTCAAACCTTATTACTTATCAGAAAATCCACACAGGGGAGAGACCCCATAAGTGCTTTGAGTGTGGGAAATGTTTCACTGAGAAGTCAGCCCTTGTTAAACATCAAAGAATCCACACAGGAGAGAGAGCTCATAAATGCTTGCACTGTGGGAAAAGTTTCAGTCGGAATTATACCCTTATTATACATCAGAGAATCCATACGGGAGAAAAACCCCATAAATGCTTGCACTGTGGGAAAAGTTTCAGGCGAAACTACACCCTTATTCTACATCAGAGACTCCATACGGGAGAGAAACCCTATAAATGCTTGCACTGTGGGAAAAATTACAAGCAGAAATCAAGCCTTTTTTCACATCAGAAAATCCATGCAGGAGAAAAACCCCATAAATGCTTGGACTGTGGGAAAAGCTTCATTCACAGCTCACAGCTTATTAGACATGAGAGACTACACACGGGAGAGAGACCTTATAAATGCCTCGAATGTGGGAAAAACTTCAGTCGGAACCATACCCTTATTCTACATCAGAGAATCCATACAAGAGAAAGACCCCATAAGTGCCTCAACTGTGGGAAGTGTTTCAGTCGGAAGACAAACCTTGTTACTCATCAAAGAATCCACACGGGAGAGAGACCCCATAAATGCATCGAGTGTGGGAAATGTTTCAAAGACAAGTCAAACCTTATTACACATCAGAGAATCCATACTGGGGGGAGACCGCATGCGTGCCTGGACTGTGGGAAAAGCTACAGTCGGCGGTCACACCTTACTAAACATCAGAGAATCCACACAGGAGAGTGCCCCCATAAATGCTTGAGCTGTGGGGAAAGTTTCAATCGGAACTCAAACCTTGTAACACATCAGAGAATCCATATGGGAGAGAAACCCTATAAATGCTTGGACTGTGGGAAAGGCTTCAGTCAGAGCTCACACCTCATTATGCATCAGAGAATCCATACAGGGTATAAACCCTATAAATGTTCTGACTGTGAGAAAACCTTCATTCAGAGATCACACCTGCTTAGACATCAGAAAGTCCACATGGGAAAGAGACATCATAAATGCCCAGACTGTGGAAAAAGGTTTAGGAAGAACTCACACCTTATCATGCATCAGAGACTCCACGTGGGAGAGACATCTTGAATGTGGGTGATGCTTCAGTTGGGCACATATCGTATCAGGCATCAGCAAATCCACACAGGGAAAAGTTCTTTTAAATGTCCTTAGCATGGAGAAAGCTGCAATTGGGAAGGTAACTCCATATTGGACCTCAGAGACTCCTCTATACAGGAGAGAAATGCTGTCTGTGCTCTGACTAGGGCTGGTTACGGTAGTATATACATCTCCATTTCCTAATTCCCATACACAGTGGTGGCATTTGGCTCCCAAGTATCTAGCTGCCCATCTCTGGGGGCAGGTTCCAGCAGCAGTTGACCCTGAGGTGATCAGGGACCATCTGGCTTTGCCTGCTCTAAGCAAACCCCAGGCAGAGGAGGAGAAGTCCCGATCAGCCCCTCCTCTCTGCTGCAGCCCTGGGTGCTGAACTGATGGACCTTCTTGCCTCCTGCTAACCTGCTGGGGGAAGGGAAGAGAGAAACTCCTTCAGAAGCTCCCTCTGAAGTTCCCCCCCTCCTCCCTTCCCATCCAAGATTAGGAGAAGTATACTTGGGCCAGGCCCCACCTTCACTCCACACACTTGTCCCCATCCTGCGTCTTCCACCAGTTTCTGGGCTCAGCTCAGCTCCCAAACTTATCCTGCAGGGAACAGTTCCAGATAAGTGTCCTAGGGTGCTGGGAATCAGATGTCAAGTGACCGGGAGGGGGTTTTGCCAGGGATCTGGGGGATTTAATGTTTTGGGCTGGTGGAGAAGGGAATCAAATGGAGCTCAGGTGATCAAGATATTGGTCATCATGGAATGAGAAGAGAGGGAGTGTGCAGGGTTAGGGAGGTTCTGCCCTCTATCATTCACCTCCTCTGCCCCTTTTCCCTGCCACCTCTACATTCAGAAGGCAACACTGAGAGGGACTAATTTCCACAGGGCCTTTTTTGGGAGGCCTAGAAATTCAACCTCAGCAGGAGGTTTTTCTAGCCTAAGAAAGTGATCAGGAGTAGCAACCAGAATGATCGTGGCCTGTTTTGTAAAGGACTTGGAGGTCTACTGATGAAAAGTTCTATCCAAGCATTAGATATTATTTTTTATTTATGTTGGGCCAAGCAAAATGAGACCTGACACTCAACTCCATGGTGTTTGTTTGCATGTAATGCAATTACTTTGAATGCTGCAACTGATCAATTCAGACATTTCAAACATCTGGGCTCCCTATGCAATGCATGGGGAAAGATAGGCACCTTAGGATAGGAGCCACAAAAGTCAGTACACTAGGTGGGAAGTCACCTAAGCTGGCCAGTGGGACATGCCAATGAGAGAGTTCTACCCTAAATCAGTCCCTCTGACAGAGTTAGGTACCAAAGTCTGGGCAGCTGGGAGATGCCCATCTCTGCTTGGGATGTATGACCAGGAACCCTGCTCCTGGACTAAGGCAACTTACGCTGCAAGCAATTGGTTTATCACCAGGACCCTCCCCAAGCAGGCGAGGGTGGAGAGGTCAGAGCGATCTCTGGGGTCATGCAGTCCTGGCAGCAGGACGGGAATTGCTCTCACTGCAGTAACTCTTTGTTGTTGTGGGTGGAATCCACATTCCTTGCAAGATATCAGAGCCCAGGCTGCAGATGGGAGAGGTTAGTATCTCCCCAAGGGACCCTACCAGCCTGCCCAGGACATTCCAAACAGGGAAGACAGACCTTATATACAAAAAAGAGCTGGGACCCCAGACCCATGGGAGAGATGATCCCCACTGCTCCCAGTGATGGTCCTGCTTGGTATAAAGTTAAAAGGACCTTCCCATCACAGCCTCCCCTCCTCCCCCCAGAAATGATGCCTCCTAGTCACACCCTGTCTGCAGGTTGAGACTGAATGCTTTGCAGGTGCTGGTTAAACTGTCTCCAGCCTCGGAGCAGTTCTCTGGGGATTTTAGTCTAAATGATCAGCTCAGCTTGTTTTATTAATCTCTGCTCCTTTGTACCTTTTTACTGGTGGTGCTTAGTTTTCATGAGTGCTTTTTTTCATATCCCCACTGATAAATCCCTGCAAAATGGGTGAATGTTGAAAAGCACCCTGGGCTAGATTCTCAGCTGATGGGAATCAGTGTAGAGCCAACATATCCAGGGTTAGTGTACACCAGCTGGGGCTCTGGCCCCATGGACTCCAATGGAGAGATGCCAATTCACATTAGCTGGGGATCTGTCTTTAAAATATGATTCCCAGGTGGCAACTACAATTACATTGTGAGGGAAACATTGCTGAATCTATTTAAGTGCCTTTTATATGTTGTATCTTTCTAGTTTCCTCCATATTTAAAGAGCCTCCTCCCCCCATTTGGGGGAATGGTGTCTCCCAGGTGTTACAATCATCTAGCCTTTAACTGGCAGCACCAAACAATGCAGGATAAGGGGAGGTGAGCCCCATATGGGGCTGCTTTGTGTGTGACTGGCCGCCTCCTTCCTGAGGCAAAATGCATAATTGCTAAACCACTCCATCCCATATAACAATCCTACTGCATTAACCCCTTACATTCCCACCACTGTATTCACCCCAAGGGATCCCAAATGTCAGTCTGTCACAGAGCAATGTCCTGAACAAACCTTATGGAATTAAGATGAACTTTACTGAAATAAATCAGACTTTGGACTTGTCTACACTTACCGGAGGGTCCGGCGGCAGGCAATCGGTTTTCTGGGATCGACTTATCGCGTCTAGTGAAGACGCGATAAAATCGATCCCTGATCGCTCTGCCGTCGACTCCGGAAATCCACCATGGCAAGAGGCGGCAGCGGAGTCGGCGGCAGCGGTCGACTTTGCCCCGTCCTCACCGCCAGGTAAGCCGACCTAAAATACGCAACTTCAGCTACGGTATTCACGTAGCTGAAGTTGCGTATCTTAGGTCGGACCCCCGCTGTAGTGTAGACCTAGCCTTTATTGAATTAGGTTTAATCCCTTTGGGTCCATTGTGTTAAAAATGCAATTGTGTATGTGTTATTGTGGCATTATACATATCTTTTCCAGTATGAGGGAGATGTGAATGTAATTCCTCCACTTATCAGCCCTTTGAAACCACCGCCTGGAGAGGTTTGCATAAACTAATTCAAACTGGATTTTCCAGATGAAGAAAAGACTTTGGGATAAATAACCAAGTTTTAGACTGACTCAGGGTCTTCTTCTTGACCCAGCAAATGGACAAGACCCCGGTCCATGGAAAGCTTCAATCCTTAGGGAAGGGTTGAAAGGGCTTTGACCTACAGAGGCTGCATAAGACTGGGTGCTGGTTCTGAGCTGAAGCTGTGATGAACCTGAAGCCACAAGGAAACTTCTTGAGAGGAAGGACTAATCGCTGGCCAGAGCCCATGTTAGAGTTGAGATGATCTCTGATAAGTTTATTAGCATGCCTGTAGGTTCTTTTATTGGTTTTAATGTTTTCTCTGTAATGCATTTTACCTTAAGAATAAAATAGGCTTGCTTAGAAAGAGCTGTGTGATAACTTATAACTGTGGGCAGTCATTGTTAATTGTCTCTGAAGAGAAAGCAAGCAGGCCTGCTGGGACTGCCTGTCTCTGCTGGGACCAGCACAGTAAAGGCAGGGAACTAGACCGTCTAGAAATGCCCTGAGTAGGAGGGAGAGAGACATGGGTCTCCACCCAAAAGAGGCAAAAGTCTGGGTGCCAGAAGCTTGAGAGTCAGGGAGATGCCTGAGATGCATCTCATGGTAGGAAGTGGCCCAGGGAATGTAGTAGAAGTTGGTGCTTAAACCCTTAATGGGGAATCCCCTGGCTTCATAGCATCCTGGGTCGGAACCCAGTGGAGCAAGGTGGGCCCAGGTTCCCCTACCCCACCCCACTTGCTTGTTTGCCTGCCCCAGACAGGAGGCTCAGGGGCCATAAACTGTTTGGTTGCTCCGCCCCACCTGGGAACTACAAACTGATTTTGTTCTGCCCTGCCCAGAGGGTCAGAAACCCCCATTGTCACTCGCTGCCACAGCCAGGAGACTCGCAGGCGACAGACTGCTTGTTCTACCCTGCCTGGGGGCCCTGGCTGGATTATTTGCTCGACCCTGCCAGGAGTTTTGAGACTACCTTGTTACAATTATTTGATCCCTCAGGGAATCCAGATAACTCTGTGATGGGGTGTACCAATCCCGCACTGGGCCAATAGGGGCAGCCCCACTCGACGAACAGGGCCCCCATCACAGATCCCCTAAAATTTTCCTCATTTTTAATCTTAGACTGATCCTGCAAAGACTTATGCATCTGTATAACATCATGTCCTGTGCTCCAAGGGTACTGCTCACAACACACAACAGGAAGCATAAGCGTAAATATTCGTAGGATCAGGACCTAATTATCTATAAGTGATTTAATATCCCTTCTGATTTTGGCCCATTTTCTCTCATCTGATATTAACATATCTCCTCAGATTTTTCCAAGTTTCATCTGTAATTATCTATTGATCTAAAAAAATGCCTTTCAAGCCTTTTCTCTTTAATTCTTGAACACCTATCTCAAATCCCTTATAACTGCAGCAATTTCTTCTTTTGAAGAAAAACTATTGCCATGAGTTTTTGCCCCAGATGGGGCATATTTCTTGTGTGGGTATGGGGAAGAGATGAAACTCAGGGGGAGATAACAACTTTCTACTCATTTATCAAAGATTGAGATAAAATCCCCTCAGATTTGGTTTCCTTCTCCCCTTTACAACTGCTGGTCTGTAGAGGGAAAACAGTCTCTCTGGATGTGGAGAGCAGGGCAAGGGCTGCAATTACCCATTGCCTATAACCTGCTTGGCAGAGGTGGCTGATTCACCTCACACCCTATGTGATGGTTTCTTTAAGTGTTCTGTGATCTCACAATTCCTGGTAGTAAACTTGTGACTTTTTCCTTATTCAAAATGGCTGCCATTTCCCATGAATGTCAATGGGGCTGAAGCCATATGCTGCTTCCAGCCAAGCTGGCCATGATCCCCAATGTTCTGCAGGGGTAAGACGGCCACAGACACCCTTGCTTCTGAACTGAGCTGAAGCCAGGTTGATCCGTGGTCTCTATGGGGAGATGGAGGGATATGGGAGCTGGAAGAAGGCTGAAGAGGGGTAGGGGCATCTGGGGACAAAAGGGCATTGAGGGGGTGAACACTGAGTTGTGAGGGGGCAGGAGGGGATGCACAGGGATGTGGGGGGCAGGATAGGATTGAGGGGGCATGAGGAAGTAGGTACGTGGAAGGTAGGATTAGGGAATGCAGAGGAATCATGGTGCAGGACAATAGGGTTGGAATACAGGGAATATTTGAATGATAGGATACTGTGAAGAAAAGGAGGAGACCCTGGGGAGCATGGATGGAGAATATGAGTGCAAGAGAAGACTGGATGGGAAAGGGGGAGAGACAAGACAGTGATAAGGGAGAGATACAATGGCAGTTACCCCACCTCATGGGGTAGAAGAAGATAAGGGGGCTGCCCTGCTCAGCACCTAGTGGGGAATTTTGGTACTAGAAATGTTCAAACACACACTGGGTAGTGTGGGCAGTAGATGGACACATACATACACACACAGTCTGCTCCTTATTTATCATGTGAAAAATCTTTTTTTAAGACAAACAGGGTCCAGGGGTCTGACGCCTGACTGTTTGGGGTTGACCGTACCTGAAACTTTGTATATTTTAACAACGTATAGAAGCAAAAAGTGTATGCTGAAGTACCCAAGGATATTGGGATCCAGAAGATCCCCACTGAAGGATCCCCAGGGAATGTGCATTTGCTACTCCTGTGAAAGGCCAGGGCATTCTAGCCAAGAAAGGAGGCGATCACAGTCTCAGGCTTTCGAAACCAAAGGGGCATCAGGAATGGTTGGCCCATCAACAGAAGAAGGCCAAGCAGGGGCAGGATTCCTAGGCCTGTCCTTGGTGGAAAATCAGTCTGCCTACAGTACAGTACAGAGGGGGAAACCGAGGCACAGACAGATGAAGTGACTTGTCCAAGGTTACACTGGGAGGTTGTGGCAGAACTAGGAACTGAACCCAGGTCTCTAGGGTCTTGTTTGGCTTCACATCCACATTCTGGAAGATTTGCTGTACTCAGACCTAAGTTACAGGGCTCAGTGTAGGGGTGACTGGTGAAATATAATGGCATGTTCTATACAAAAGATCAGACTAGGTGATCTAATGGTCCTTTTGGTCTCAACCTCTGCGATTCTCTGCTTCTCTAACACCAGGACACGCTCGGCTGCTGTCTCAGCTGGGTCGTGACTCCGTTAATATCTGCGTCAAACCTTTGTGGCATCTGGACAGGGTTCCGATTTGGTAGGATGGGTTTGGGCAGCTGCTCCAGTGTTTCACCCAGCAGACGGTTCGGAGAAGTGGAGGCTTTATTGGAAGGGCTTTCGGACGCCAGCCAGCCATAGGCTGTGATGCAGACAAAGCAAATACAGAGCAACTCAAACACTGCCACTGCCAGAGCAAATAGAGAACCGCAGCCCCGTCCCACCTAGCAAAGAGATTTGTCCAGGGGATTGCACATGGAACCCACAAACAAAGGGGGTTTGGACAGAGGCAGGGAACCCATGAGACACTCAGAAATAAGGATGATTCATGGTGTGAGACAATAACCTGCAGTTATATAGCATGTACACAGAGGGGCCAGTATCCTTCCATTTTACAGG